ATGCTCTGCCCCTTCACCTGCAGCACCTTCTGCGGCGCGACCACCACCCCGGCCCCACCCGCCGCCATCGTCTTGGCTCGCTCCACCTCCGCAGCCTTCCTCCCACAGATCCCTCGTATGACGGTCGTCTTGGCCCGGCGCTGCAGCGACTGGTACCGCTGCATGCGGCGCTGTGCCTCGTCTGCGGCGAAGTCGCGCGCGCCCAGCTGCTGCAGGCGGTGCAGGATGGAGGAGTAGGAGGCGTAGCGCCCCGTGAGGCGGCAGAAGAGGTAGCGCACGATGGTGCCCACGTCCTCCGCTATGGATGTCGCCAGCTCCTGGGTCTCCTGGTGGTGGTGGGCGACGGGGGTGAGGGGGTTAAGGAAGTGAGAGGGACAAGAGGACGAAGGGATGAGAAGATTTGGATGAGAATGTGGGATCTCTAAGTGAAATCTAAACCAGAAACGGGTTGGGGTGAAGGTGCGACTGACCAGTGTTACGTCTGGGTAATACCAAAAGCAGCGGCAGGGAAGCACAAATGTCCAACCTTGATGGTCATGAAGGCACGACTGACCTTGATGGTCATGAAGGCACGACTGACCTTGATGGTCATGAAGGCACGACTGACCTTGATGGTCATGAAGGCATCGACGATGATGGCGATGAGGAAGTTGAAGAGGATGAAGACGAGGAGGAGAATGAAGGCGATGAAGAACAGCATGCCCGCCACCAGGTCCCACCCGTGCATGTGCGCAAAGAAGTAGGCCGTGGCGTTCTCGTTCAGAATGATCAGGAAACACGTGAACAACGCGTCGGGCAGCGTGGCAAACTGCACAAGTTGGATTCACGTGGGATAAAAAGAATTCAAAACAAAAAAAGGGGGGACGTGAGCCGATCCCCTGAAGGCATAAAAAGGAGTGATGGTAGAATACTTGGAATGAAAGAGAAGTTGCCATGCCTAAATGGATCACCTGCTCCATTTTGCCGCCGAAGACGAGGTAGCCGTAGAGAGAGAAGCAGAAGAAGACGACGAAGGCGAGCAGGAAGAAGTGCAGCAGCGGGGGCATGGCGAGGGCGAGGGAGCGCGTGATGACGCCCAGATAGGGCTGGAAGTCCATCAGCTTGAGCAGCCGCACCATGAGGAAGAAGAGGCTGGAGACGTGGACGGAAGCAGGGGGTAGAGAAAGAAGTTCTTAGTCTAGGCACTGGGATCAAGGCAGGACACTTGTACATGAAAAAAAAACACGAAAGCAGGGGAAATCTATATATATATATATATATATATATGGAGGTAGCAGCAGCCTTAAAGCAGAGGACCACTTCAGAACCCAGAACGGCTTGACCCGGCAGCTCAACAAACAAGAGCAGCAAGCTCACTTGACGCCCTGCAGGGCGAAGTAGAAGGAGCGCCAGTTGATGAGCGCCTGCAGGTCCTCGTACTCCTGCATGGCCGCCTGAAACCCCTCTCCACTCCCCGCCACCTGCCAGTACCGCGGCACCTCCAGCAGTGACTCATATATATCATATCGCGGGTCCATATCATTTGCAGCCACTGCCCGCCAGAGCACGATCCAGGTGATGAGAGCGAGCCACTGCAGGAGGAGAGAAGTCATGTCGATCCAGTTCCAGCCGGAACGGAAGTAGCTGAGAACGGACCCCTCTCTCTTCATGCGCCCCCGCAGCTCCACCGCCTCCTCCACCCCGTTCCACAGCAGTGCCACCACGTACACCGCTTGCAGCAGCAGCAGGAAGACCGAGGTGAGGGATTGCGAGTACAGGGTGGTTGGCACGGAGAGCGAGGAGAAGGAGGTGACGAGCCCCCCGCCTGTGTCCACCACTGCTGTGACGCGCGTGAGGACAAACGTGCTGCTCTCGCCTGGTGGGTAAGGGGTTGGACGGGTGGGCGAGGAAAGATGAGATAATGGAGAGGAGCTGGCATGAGAATGCCCACTTCAATGCACACGTGGCGTTTTCCAGTCGACTCAGAGGGCACCAAGGAGGGCATGGCTCACCGTTGTGGGTGATGAAGGAGACTTCCAGCTTGCGAGTGGCATTGTCGACGTACAGCCCGTCCACCAGGTACTGCAGCCGGTTCTCCGGTATTTTTTTTTTAGGCGCCTCAATTACAGGCTCACCGTTGTGGGTGATGAAGGAGACTTCGAGCTTGCGGGTGGCGTTGTCAACGTACAGCCCGTCCACCAGGTACTGCAGCCGGTTCTCCGCCCCCCGGTGGTCCAGGTTGATGTCAAACACCAGCGGGTAGCCCTCCAACCCCTCCTGCGCACATGGGTGTGGGACGATGTGGAACATTTTTCAGGACAAGTTGGAGGTTTAAACACAGGAGATTCACTGTCCCCGCGGTGGTCCAGATTGATGTCAAACGCCAGCGGGTAGCCCTCCAACCCTTCCTGCGCAGGTGGTGAGCAAAAAACATGCAATTTTCCAAAACAGACAATCTCAAGAAGCAGAAAGTGGGAGTGGGACACGAGCACACAGCAAGGGCGTATGGCCTTCCCTGTTGGCCTGGCGCTGCTAGAATGGCTTACCACAGGGTACTCGAATCCATATGGCAGGCCTTGGGGATTCAGTACAGCATGACCAGCACCATCACCAGCCCCAGTGCCAATACTGGCACTGGCACTGGCATTGGTGCTCTGGAGAAGGGTGGAGGCAGCTGCTGCAGCTGCTACAGGGTCGTAGAGGGAGGAGGTGGGCAGGAAGTGCGGGTTCACTCCAAACGGCTCCCTGGACGTGCCGTTGCTGCACCACCCCGCCAGGTGCAGCAGGCTGGGGAGGGAGGGGAGAGGGGGGGGAAGAATGAGGGGAACGGGGGGGGGAGTGGTGGAAGTTGAGGCTTGGGTTGGGGGAAGAATGGAGGGAGCTGAAGGGGTGGTGGGAGATACGAGAGAAGTTTGCATGGCACCAGAGACAGACGGCACACGATGCAGACACAGTACAGATGGTGGGATCACGGTTGGAATCGACAAGGCAAGATGCGAGAGTGACAGGGTGACAGAGCAGAGCACCCCTGTAGGCAGGCCAATGCGGGAAAGCTTGCAATCGAAGATGGAACAAAGAGGAAGGAACGGAGTGGTTCTGGGTCGAAGCAGGCAGTGTTCGTACTTGTCTGCATTGCACGTCTTCACACCCCAGCGCTCCTGGTAGAGGAATATACCGATGAGAAGCCTGAGAGGGGAGAAGAGGGGACGAAAGAGCATGGCGTGTAACTGAAGATACTAGGGAGACAAGTGCAGGCTTGGTAACACTACGAGCAACGGGCGACGTGAGAAGTCTCCATTCTCGACATGTTGTGTTCGGCCCACTCGGCGTGTGAGAGTATCTCCGCGGTGCTTCGGGAGGAGATCTGTACCTGTTGTGTTGGCCCACAAAGCGAGTGAGCGGCGCGTTCCTCTCAGCAGCAAAGGCGCGGTTGCTCTCTGTGTAGTTGGGGCCGTAGCGCTGCAGTGAGAAGGGGAAGTGCAGATCACTCCCCACTGCAGACGACATGCAGCATGCTGGTCGTCCCGAACATTGGGTTAGGGGAATGTGTGTGCGGGAGAGGAGGAAGGTGGGAGGGAGGGGAGGGGTGTGGTGGGGGGTTGGAGGGTAATCGAAGGCGGGTTAATGTGGCACGGGAGCGAGGTGTGGATGGCAGGAGCAGTAAAACAGGCAGCGTGGAGGAGGAGGGAGGACAAAATATGATAGCGAAACGACAAGCTTCCCACTGCCTGCCTCGACCTTCCCTTGCCTCACACATCTCCTCCTCTCGCCCCCACTCCATCTCCCCCACTGCCTCCACTCCACCCTCCCCTGTCCACCCCCTAGACAACCCCCCACAGCACACATCACCCCCCCGCGCACCTCCATCGTGGCGACGGGCATGGCCGGGGGGGCAGGCACAGAAGCCGGGGCCGAGCACGGAGTCAATGCACCCGCAGTCGCCGCCGTCAAAGGTGCAGGCGGGCGTGTTGCAGCGCGGGTTGCACACCCCGTCTGCCAGCATGTGCATGGAGCACCCGGGGGAACACTGGAACGCCAGGTCTGAAGGGCAAGGGGAGGAGGGAGAGGGATGGGGTGAGAAGTGTTGAGAGGAGAAAGTGCAGGAGAGCATGGGTGGTAGTGGCTGTTCAAAATCAAACCAGCAAATATAGAAGGCACGGCACGCCTGCTCGGGGCCTAAGTGGCGGGCTTGTGGGCGAGTAATGTGAGAAAGTGTGGGAACGCACACGTCATATTCATTCAAGATCGACCGAACACTTGCAGGCACACCTACCTGGGGCTTCGGGCGGCGGCACGAGCACAGTCACCATGCCAGACATGGCGGGCGGCAGGAAACCACCCATGGTGGAGGCAGCAGAGGAAGCAGAGGAAGCAGAGGCAGCGGCAGAGGAGGCAGAGAGCCCTGCCTCGCCCGCGTCCTGCCCGCCGCTCTCATAGTGGTATGTGCCCGGGAGGGTGAAGACCTTGGTGTACGTGAAGGTGGCGTTGACGTCCCCTGGGAACTCTGCAAGCAGCGGGAGGATGGGGAGAGAGGGTTAGGGGGTGGGGGATTGGGGTTGCAGAGAGATTGAAGGCAGGGGGGATTGGGGAATCCTGGGCTGTGTGCACAGCGGTGACGCAGAAGGCACGCACGGGAGGAGGGGGAAGACGGCATGACATACACAGCATGCAGAAAAGGGAGGGGGGGGGGGGTAGGGGGAGGCGAGTCGTGCTTCAAGCAGCACGCACGGAAAGGAGGGGAGAGGAGGGCGTGACTCACTGAGCACGCAGGGCACGGGGTCGTCGTAGTCGTCGTCCTCCCCGGCAGTCATGGGCGAGCAGGGGAAGAGGCGAGACACCGCCAGGCGGTGCCCTCCAAACCCCGGGAAGAAGGGCGTGGGCGCGTCGCCCATGCCCGCAACTGGCGTGGGGAGAGGGAGAGCACAGGGCGAGTCAGAGTGAGAATAGTGCGCATTGGACGAGCGAGGAACGGACCAGCAGAGGAACAAGAGAAGCATGTGAAGCATTGAAAGCGAGCTCACTTCTGAGGGAGTGCGGGAGGTCGTCATCCCACACCCAGGTGACCTTGTCGCCCACATGGATGGTCGTGTTGTGCTTCACACCCGCCTTCCACTGCAGCCACGTGCCTCCTGCATGTTGGGGAAGGAGAGAAGCACGATGACAGGTTGAATACGCCGAGGCAAAGGCAGGAAGAGAATGAAGGGAAGCGGAGGGAAGAAGGGACAAGGATCAAGAATGGAAGGGTGAGGTTTGGTGCAGTGTGGTGTGCTTTCCGCAAGCTCATGTAAGAAGGTAATACCACTGCGCACGTGCAAGAAAATCACCACTGGCGGACAGAGAGCACTCGCTTTGGAAGCAATCTGCAATGTCGATAATTCCTTCACATTCTCAAGAATCCCTCGCAAAGCCCGGCACTCACCTTGGGAGCAGCCGGCGATGTCGGTGCTGACGATGGCGTCTTCAAAGCGGTGGAAGAAGGAGGAGAGGTCGGCAGCGGCTTGGGGCGGCATGGTGGTGACGGACTGCAGGGCGGCAATGAGGATGTCTATGAATCGCCGCAGCTGCTGCGATGACACCGCCTTGTCGTTGCTGCAGTGGCGCCACGGGGGAGGGCAATCACATCACATCACAGAAGGGAAGGGGAAGGACAGGGGTGATATGGGTCATGAGGCATGGTGGTGACGGACTGACGGCGATGAGAATGTCTATGAAGCGCCGCAGCTGCTGCGATGACACCGCCTAGTCGTTGCTGCCTTGGCGACACAGAGGAGGGTGGGGTAGGCAGGGAGGGAAGGAGCAGTGGGAGATGGAGCATGAGGCATGGCGGAGGGAGGGTGGGGGGCAGGAGGGATATCTATATCTGGCATGAACGAGCCATGGCAATGATGGGGAAGTGGAACCACCATGGAGACGAGACAAGCAGCACTCACACGCCGCGGTGCACATATTTCAGGTGGTCAAACAGCACTCACACGCCGCGGTGCACATATTTCAGGTGGTCAAGCAGCACTCACACGCCGCGGTGCACATATTTCAGGTGGTCAAGCAGCACTCACACGCCGCGGTGCACATATTTCAGGTGGTCAAGCAGCACTCACACGCCGCGGTGCACATATTTCAGGTGGTCAAGCAGCACTCACACGCCGCGGTGCACATATTTCAGGTGGTCAAGCAGCACTCACACGCCGCGGTGCACATATTTCAGGTGGTCAAACAGCTCCTGCGCACGCAGCAGCTGGTGCCCCGTCGAATCCGCAAACCGGCACAGCGGCTGGTCGAGCACAGGGCCGCCCAGCAGCGTGCAGAGGAAGGCGGTGAGGCGCAGGCGGTAGCGCACGGAGAGGCCGAGCATGTAGGGCCCGGCGAGGCAGCTGTCCTTCACCATGGTGTAGATGGCCCGGGACACCGCCACCTGCAGCGCTCTCAGGCGCTGCTTCTCTGTGGACCCCAGCAGCTCCCACGCCCTTGGCGCCTCTGATAGATGTGGCAGCTCTGCACGCAGGGAGGGAAGTGGGGGGAAGGGGAGGGGGGAGGGGAGAGGAGGGTGAGCATAAACCTCTATCGGGAGGGTGTGAGGAAGAGGGGAGGAGGGGCAAGAAAGGATTTTTTTTCCAGGGAGAGAGGGGGAAGAGGGGCGGTGGAACAGAGGTGTTAGCACGCCAAGGGGGAGTTGGTATACTGTGATTATGATTACACGGTTCTCAACTTCACTACCCTCACTCACGCATGTCCGCAGCCGGAGGGAGGACGGGTGGGGGAAAGAAGCTTGAATCCGCAATGGCAGCACTGGTGCTGTTGCCACTGGCGTTGCCACTGGCGTTGCTGCTGGCGTTGCTGCCGGCCATTGCTGCATTGCTGCTGCTGATACTGCTCCAGCCCCAACGCGCCCCAACTGCATTCGCTCCCACAGCAGCTGCCTGTGCAGCACTCACAACAGCTGCCTGTGCGGAATTCACAGCAGGTGTAGCAGCCATTCCTGGCCCAGGCGATGCCGGTGCAACTGTCTCCTGCGTTTGCCGCCGATCCCTTGCTGCCAGAATAGGAGAGCAAGGGGCATTGGGAACCATGGGGTTGAGCAGGACGGGGACAGGCGAGGCCAGCGCAGACACACCAGAGAAGGTCACAACTTGTTGCGACCTATAAGATTGCACGGTTCTCCTTTCAAGGAGCACGTTGATTACGTGGATGTGAAGGAACCGCAAGCAAACGAATACGGAAATATAAAACCAGTGCATAGCAGTGTCGGAAGGTGGCACATACCAGTGCAGAGAGAATTGGGGAAGAGGGATGGCTTGACAACAGTGATCTGCAGCAGAGGGAGAGGAGGCAAAATGGGTAAATTTAGCCACCATGCATACCGACACATTACTATGTGTGTATAAAGCAGTGGGTTGCCATACTAGTTGCCAACATTCGATAGTACAGTTCCATGGTATGGCAGAAACCCGAACTCAATATGGCGTATTCACCTGAAGGCACGACATGGTGGCGTATGGCAGGATGGTGGACGGCGCTGCTCGGCAGATCTTGACACAATCCACAAACGCGCCCGCCACCTCCCTTGCTGCCACCTCCCGCCCACATGCAGCGTTCAGACACATTGCCACGGACTCACAGGCCTGGGAGGGGCAAGGGATCAGTTTGACAGTCATGTGGACCAGGTCGGTCTTTGAGACGTCTCAAAACCAGGTCGGTTGGGCAGATTACGCACTACACAGGCGAGCATGAGAGCAGTGGGGCGCCTTGCAGAAGGAATGTTGGAACATCAAAGGAGCACTGCATTGCACAGCACACTGCTGCTGCCCACATGTCACGGGCACACGCACACGCGCGTGCACGTGCACACAGACACCGACACAGACACACACTCACTCACTCACACACACACACGAACCGTCAGCACAGCACACGGCCACTGACACATACCTGTCGGCAGACATCTCCCCCGTCTTGAAGCAGCGTGGCATTCGATTCACTAGCGGACAAGCCCTCCCCTCCCAGGCACCCGCCCCAGCTAGCCAGCGTAACACTGTTACTCGACCCCATCGTCACGTCCCCACTCAGATGCCCCAACCCCGGCTTCTGCGCCTGCAGCACCCCCTGCACGCCGCCCATTGGTGCAGTAATCAAGAGCGCCCATTGGCCGTCGGGGATGTCGAGGGCGAGGGAGAACTGGGCGTGCTGGGCGGGGAAGGGCTGGGGGAGGGCGTGCCAGCAGAGCGAGATGGGGCTGTGCATGCACAGGTTCCATGCGGACAAAGCCAGGGCTGCAGCCGACGACAAGGATGTCGTGAAATGGATCGACACGGACGTCAGGTTCGGAAACGTCCCACAGTCCGCCTCACAGCCGAAACGGCCAAACGCGGGGAATTCAAGTGGCTGGTCGCAGAGACCGTCTCCGCATGGCGGGTCTTGCCAGAATTTCTCGATGATGCTGCTGTTCAGCCACGCGTAGAAATCAGCCGCTCTTGCAAACCGATTGGACGAATCTGGTGCAAAGTTCTGGATGGGAGGCAGGCGGGGGGGGTAGGTGCATGATGTGGTGAGTGTGGACTCTTGGGTGCCCGCACTCGTGCATTTGGGAAGCGAGAGGGGTCGGTGCGGTGGAAGCGAGAGGGGTCGTTGTAAGGCAGGAACGAGAGTGCAAGTTACAAGGTGCGGTGGGAGTGAGGGGGCTGACGGTGAGGATGAGGATTGAGAGGCCGTTATGAGGTTTAGAAAGCTCACAGTGGGGATGAGGACGGAGTGGGCGGAGGTGACTTGGTAGGTGCGGGAGGAGTCGGCCTGCAGATACACCATGGCCACGAACAGCGCCATCAGCAGCACGAACCCGCCCAGCGCGCGGTAGTGCTGCACCTGGTCGCGCAGCAGGCTGACTCGATTGAACACCTCTGCATGACCCACAGGAGCAAGGGACACGGCAAACAAAACCACACAAGAACGCACGGGACACACGGCACACACACAAGAGGAAGGAGGAGGAGGATGTTGTTGAATAAAGGGCACCAGGCACCTCGTACAGCGCTCGAGCAAGCACTGCGAACACACAACCCGAACGCACTTTACACTCGCACGGATAGGAGGTGTAAGGAGCACGCACCTTGAACCACCTCCTTATCGATCCCCTCCAGCTCGTTCGCCAGCGTCACAGGCTCATACAACCAGAGCACATGGCCTCAATCGCAGGGATCACACAGTGCAACCAGCACGCACCTTGCACGACCTCCTTATCGATCTCCTCCAGCTCGTTCGCCAGTATCACATCCTCGTCATCGCCATCCTCCCGTATCGAATCCATCTGCAGCAGCAAGCGCGTCCCAGGCTCGACCTCCTCAGAGCCTCTCCCTGCGCCGTACACCTCATCCTCGCATCCACTCTCCTTCGCATCGCTGTCCTCACCGCCATCACCCCCATCTCCTCCATGCCTACTGGTTACTCTCGATTCGCCCCAGGGCCAACCCTTCTTCAAGGACTGGAAGGTGGAGTCGAAGCCATTCCAGGCGTCACCGCTTTTCTTTCGCCAAAATGCTCCCCCATAGCACTCCTGCGTCTTGCCGTTCCTATCATCTCGGCGTGCCTCCTCCCCGATACTTCCACCATCCCCCACACGTCTCTCTCCCCCGCTGTTACTTTCGATCTGTTGATTGCCGTCGCCTTTCCGCTGAAGATCGCCTGTTTGTCTCGAAACGTCTGCTTCCTTCTGCTCCGCCAGGTTGTTTTCCGTGTAGCTCCCGAATCCACGTCTGTCTGCTTCTTCCTCCGCATCCGTTTCCTCCTCACCGTGAACGTGCGACGAGTTGGATACGGCATGAGGATGAAGCGGTGAATGGCCGAGAGGACTTCGCGACGACATTTTCGCGTCGTTTGCGTCTGGCGAAGCGCTGGCGACAGGGAGAGGGCAGGAAATGGGGAAGGTAAGTAGAAACGAAAAAAACAAAGAAGACATGGTATACACTTCTGGGAACTCCAAAAAGTCAACAGACAGAACGTCTAGTGTTGATTGACATTCTGCGAACAACTTCAATGTCAATGCAGGCGGGAACTACAACCTTCCCGGTTCTGCAAAAATTAAGTCCATGAAACTCCAGTGTCGAACCGGCATGTGAGGCTATTTGACAGGCCTGTGTGATGCCAAGTCATAGCTATGTAGAACTAACCCGGAACTATCGGCGAAGGACGAGGAGCGAGCCCACATCTGACGGTTCGCTCTCTCATACGCGCCGAACTTGTCCTCCAGCAGGCTGCGCGAGCGAGTCAGCGACGCCTGCTCCTCCGCTTCCTTCTTCCGCATCCGCGCAATCACTACCGCTTCCGCCATCGGTGGTATTAGATATGAACGACTAAATTTGCAGAGAACGGGTGTTTAAGCGAAGTGGTAAGACGTGGCTCGCGAGGATATGAATCCTAAGCGAAGCCGCGCAATGCGCGAACACGGCTCGTCTATCCCTTTCAGAATGGCCGAGTCTGGTACACATCGAAACAGCCTAAGGTTTTGCGAGGCTATATGACTAATAAACGCTTTGGAGCAACAAAGGTTCTGCTGATGCTTTCGACCTGAAAGAAAGCAGGATGTGAAAACCCTCGCCACGGACAGAGCTACAGAACAGGAGCTGGGAGACATGGCTGGTCTGTTCATGCTCCTAGCTCCCATGCCTGACATGGCTGACATGGTGGATGCGTTGTCAGTGAGTGCTGTTCACCTGCAAGCTACAGAGATTCGATGTGAGGAGGATCAGTGAAATGTATGCTGATCATGCCTTCCCTTCCTCAGCCGCCTCAATTTGGATCATCCCGAGGGTGGAACAGCTCTCTCCACAGTACACTAGTGTGCTGGACTCCTCCGCGCGATGTTGGTTGGGACCCGCGAGGTGAGCGAAAAACGGAAAAAGTAATCGCTTGCGTGCGATGGTGCGGATCCTTCACTTGCGTGCGATGGTTGCGAAAGGTGGGCGCGTCCCTGATTGATATTGTCGGGGGTAAGTAGCTTTGGCGGGGGTACTACTAGCGAACCTGCGCTTTCCAGGGAACTACAGTGCTAGTTGCGGGCACTTTCCGCCCCTCTGACCCTTAGACAGGAAAGTTATGGCAACAGCACAGAACTCGGTCCCACATTCACCCACGTGTCACAAATTCGAGAGAATAGAGAACGCAGGGCAGAGAAAAATAAAACCCATAGGGAACCTGGACTCATTTTCGGGAGGGATCAACCCTAAACACGGGATCCCGCATTTTTTTGGGGTTGATGCCTCCCCGAGACGCATCCCTTTCCGATTGGGTTTTAGTTTTTTCTGGTCAGGTTTTTCCAGTGGCTTGCGAATTTGTGACACGTGGGTGTATGTGGAGCCGAGTTCTGTGCTGTTGCAATAACCTTCCTGTCGAAGGAACGGAGGGGCGGAAAGTGCCCGCAACTAGCACTGTAGTTCCCTGGAAAGCGCAGGGTCGCTAGTAGTACCCCCGCCAAAGCTAATTACCCTATTGTCGGCGCACAATGATAGCAACCAACAGCTCTCCACAGCCAGACAATGCTGACGTGGGAGAGACTCGACGCAGCGTTCGCTTGACGACAAGTGACTGTTTGTTCCTGCAACTTAATAAAATTAGGGAAATTATATGAGCAGTCACAACAGTTTCGATTTTATGACGTTTGGTTACATGCGAATCACAAACGGTCACAGTACAGCGCGGATCTATCACGGGTAGTCACTTGCTGCCCCGCAACTCTATCACGTTTGGTCACTCAATGAAACGCACCTTGCGAAGTTGAAACTCCTGACGCTACTGCTGAGATTCGGGGACAATTGACTCGGAATTGTTTTGGCGCGAATCACTGTTACCTCCAAAATCGACTCGCGACTACCCCCACGAACTCAATAACACATACGCAAGTTGCTTCTTGCCTCGCACATGATTCTCGCGTGATTTGTACAAATTAAAAAACAAAAAGCTAAAACCCCTTCGGATGGGATACCCTTCGGGAGGCATCAACCCTAAACACTATGCGACAAGGTGTTTGGGGTTGAGGCCTCCCGAAGGAAATCCCATCCGAAGGGTAGTTTTTTTTAGCAACAAAAAACAAATTGTAATTTCACCCGTCTAAAGTGATAACGTTAGGGACATTATGCAACAATCAAACAGTAACGTTTCGGAGTTTCAAATTTTAGCGATCGTTTCATTCAGTGACCAGACGTGATAGCAATACGGGGAAAGGTGTGACTATCCGTGATAGCGCTGTGATCACCCATGATAGATCCGCACTGTACTGTGACCGTTCGTGATTCGCATGTGATCAATTGTGATAAACTCGCAACAATTGTGACTGCTCATATAATTTCCCATAAAATTACTTTCCTGGTAGACTGTACCTACAGAATGTTATCCTAAACAGAAACTATGAAAACGCATTGCTAGCTTAGCTTTTGTTAGTTCAACCATCCAGGTAGAGGCAACAGGATGTCACATACTTCCGCAAAGCACCACAACTGAGGTATTGTGTCGTGTTAACGCGAACTCAATACGGTCGATAGCCTACATACCCTCCCCCAGGCCCAAAGTCTCGCCTCACCGGCCCAACCCCGGCTCCACCAGCACCACCAGGACCCCCACCACCACCCATGGCAGGACCAGCAGCGGCAGCAGCTCCAGGATTTGGAGCAAGCACGCCAGGACCACCGCCCTGCCCACCCATCCCCCCAGGCCCACCCATTGCTCCGGGCCCAGACATCCCCCCTGGGACACCCATCCCACCAGGCCCACCCATTCCCCCAGGCCCGGCCAAGCCAGGGTTAACGGGCGGCGGGAAGCGGATGATGGGTCGCTGCGGGTCGAAACGGCCGTCCACAGGGGGCTGGCCGGGCGGCGGCATGCGCTGCTGCTGGGGAAACCCTCCATGCTGCTGCTGCTGCTGCTGCTGCTGCTGCTGCTGCTGCTGCTGCTGCTGCTGCTGCTGCTGCTGCTGTTGCTGAGGATACTGCTGCTGCTGGGGCGGCGGCTGCTGCTGCTGTTGCAAGTACTGCTGCTGGGGCGGGTAGAACTGAGGCTGCTGCTGCTGCTGCTGCGGGTACTGCTGCTGTTGCTGCGGCGGCTGCTGCTGCTGCTGCTGTTGAAGGAACTGGGGCTGGTACTGCTGGGCCTGAGGCTGTGCCTGCAGTTGCGGCTGCATCTGAGACTGGGGGTTCAGGTTGTAGGCAGCAACGGGATACTGCCCTGGCACACCGCCTATCCCTGGACCAGCACCAACAGCTGCATTGCCAGCAGCAGCAGCAGCGCCGGCAGCAGCAGCAGCAGCAGCAGCGCCGGCAGCAGCAGCAGCAGCAGGTGCAGGGGAAGCAGCAGCACTACCAGGGCCGGCAGCAGTGGAGAGAGGAGCAGGGCTGGCTTGGACTGGCTTGGGCTGTGCGGCAGCGGCAGGGGCGGTGTATCGCTCTACTCTCAACCGCCGGTTGCCCAGTTGATGCTCGTTCAGCGCTGATGTGGCAATGTCCGCTGATGTGGGGGAGTCCAGGTGGACGTAGCCTGGTTGGGAGACAGCGAGGGCGGGATGACGTGGCGGAACAAACCGTTGGCTTAGCAAGATAGATAGCTGGTGTGCTTCTTCGATCCACACTTGTCCATTCACCGTATAGTATCTTCCCTAAGAATATCTTTCCATAGAGTCTCCTGGTTATCTTCTTCAATTCACCGTAAAATATCTTTCCAAAGAATCTCCTAATTACAATGAATCTGCATCAGCCCCCATGCCACGCCCCTTGTCACCTTACTGCCCTGATGCAGCGCCACTCACTGGAGCCCAGCCCCCGGCTGCCCTCTCGCGCCACCTGCACGGCCACCACGGTGAAATAGGTGCGGAACAGCTCCACCAGCTGCCATGCATGCATGCACACCCCAGGCTACACCCCACATTCCACGCCCTGCTGCCTCTCAGACTCACCATAGCCCAGCCCTCTGTTGCCCTCGCGAGCCACCTGCACGGCCACCACGGTGCCGTACGTGCGGAACAGCTCCACCAGCTGGCGCTCGCTGTAGTCCTCCGGTAGCCCGTACACCGCCAGGGGCGTCACTGCCATGCACAGGGGGGGTTGGGGTTGGGAAGGTGGGGGGGGACAAGGGGGGGGCAAGGGGAGGGCAAGGGGAGGGCAAGGGAAGTGCGCAGGGGAGGGGCAACATTTGAGTTGACTCGAGAGCTCCACCAGCTGGCGCTCGCAGCAGGGAACAGAGGAGAGGGGAGGAACCAGGCGAAAAAATGACAAGTGGGCGAGTGTCTCACCCATCCACAGCTGCTCTGGCGCCCACAGCAGATCTCCCTGCTGCACAGCCCCAACTCACCTCCACTGCTTTCCTGCTGCTGATGCTGCTGCTTGTCCGCACCATCCTGCTGCTTCTCCCCCGCAGAATCAGCACCACCCGCAACACTCCCATTGGCAGCACCAGCACCAGCACCAGCACCACCCGCACCAGCAGCACCAGCAGCACCACCACCACCAGCGGCGGCAGCAGCCGCAGTTTTCTCTGCATCAGCCTTCTTGGCCTCAGCCTGGGCGAGCTCGGGGGGCTTCTCCCACACAGACGTGTTGGTAGCCGCGTGGTAGTAGAACGGCCGCCCGTCCGGTGCTGCATGCTCCGTCCACCCACACTCCGCCACCGGGTCGTCCCCTCCTGCACCTGCATCAGCCGCAGCAACCCCATCAGCACCCGCACCCGCAGCAGCAGCAGCAGTACCGTCAGTGGCAGAACCACCGGCAGCTGCTGTGGCTGGCGCTGCTGCTGCTCCTGCTGCGATCCCAGCTGCCCCATCTGCCCCCTGCTGCGCTGCTGCCGCCTTTGAAGGGCCGCCCACAATGCCGTTCTGCTGCCCTGCGTGCCCAAGCGCCTGCATCCCAAGCTGCTGCCCCGCCTGCTGCTGCTGCTGTTGCTGCACTCCCTGCTGCTGCAACGCTACCTGCTGCGCCCATGGGGGCTGCTGCGTGGCTGCGATCCCCATAAACGGCTGCTGCCCACCATACATTGCTGCGAAAACAACAAGTGTTGGTGTTCGTAGGAAGGAAGGTTAGTGTAAAGAAAATTGTTCGTCACTGAGGGAATGGTGTAGCGTTGCATGAGGAGAGAGAAGCAAGCACCGGGAAATAGGATTGCCACCGAAGTGCATGGCGGCCGGCAGCAAAGGTGCAATTGAATGCAGCCAATGTGCGGTGAGAGCACATGGCACAGCAAAACAAGCAGTTTGCAATGCGCTGTGTCGGGTGAGTCGGCTACATAGAACAGGCTTATTTGAAACCAGAACAACGATGCGTACATCCTTGTGAAAGGCAAGAACACCAAAGAAACACTCACGATGCTGCTGCTGTTGCTGTTGCTGCCCCACCACACCCCTCAGCCTGTCGACCTCCCGCGCGGTGGCCTCGAGGGTCCTCTCCGCCTTCTCACGCTGCTCTGTTGCCTCCATGGCCGCCCGCCTCTCTCGCTCCGCCGCATCCCTGCTCGCCCCTCCAACAACACCGGCAACAATAGCACCAGCAGCAACACCAACAGTTGAAGTTGCAGCAGCACACGCAGTGGAAGGGTGAGAGGGAGTGTGTGGGGAAGGGTATGGGGAGCAAACGGTGAGAGGAGGCGCGTGGGGAATGGGTGGCGTGTTGCGGATCAAAGGAGACACACATGCCAATGCCAGTGCACGCATGTTCCTTAACCCAAGCTTAGCAGTTAACCACCCAAACCTGCCAGTTAGCAGATGGACACCCAAACCTCGCCAGACTCTGTCCGTCACGGCCCTGCCGCCCATCCACGCCTTTCAGCGAAAGCCAATTTCCGCCCTCCCCTTGTGTGCCCCTAACCTTCCCCATCCCCCATCCCCCGCGTTTCCCCTTTCCCCACGAAACTGCAAGAACGCATTTCACTCCGCAAAACCCTCGACCACATTGACTAGCCACGGTCCGCATTGCCTCCGCGCTCTCACCAGTGAAAGGTAACCCTGCTGTTGCTCCCCAACCAAACCCGTAGTACGACCATTGGGAAATTTGGGAAAACCCTCCAAACATGGCCTCTAGGCCGCACACGTGCTCCTTCCGCTCTCACCCTTCATCATTTCTACCCTCCCCCACACCTTCACCTCTCCCCCAATTCCACCCGCATCCGGTATTCCCCTTCCCCATCCCCATTCAACATCTTCCCCCTCTCACCCCTCCCGTCCCACCCCCCCCACACCCCCCGCACCTGGCCTGCATCAGCTCCTGCCGCATGCCCTCCAGGTCGCTCCGCATGCGCTGCATGTCGCCCCCCATGGCGCTCATCTGCCGCTGCATCTCCGCGCGCCCCGCCTCCGCCTCCCCCCCGCGCGCCTGCAGCGCCTGCAGCTCCATGCGCGCACGATGCAGCTCTCCACGCAGAGGCTCTGCGCAAACCAGCGCGGGAAAACAGAAGGGACGAGGAAGTTTATGTAAAAAAAGCAAAAAATAAAGATAAAAACAAACACAACAAAACAAACAAACAAACAAACAGACTGGGCTTTAAAAGGGGAAAAACTTGTGGGAAACGTTAGCGGGTTATGGGGTTGGCAGCAATGGAACGGGGAAAAACAATAAAATTTGAATGCTTAAAACCCCGAGACGCGCGCCTAAGTGCCTTCAGTATCTTAGACCCACTCACCGACGGCTCTTAGGTCTGCCTCGAGCTTGGCCTTGTGCTCCATGATTCCGCGCACCGCTTGATCCTTCTCCATCTGCACCGCCGCCAGCGTCGCTTTCGTCCGTTGGATCTCGCCCTGCGCTGCCGCCAGCTCTTGACGAAGCGCCACGTGCGTCGCCGCCAGCCGCTGATTCTCCGTCAGCAGCTGCTGAATCTCCCCGTGCTGCGCCGCAAATTTCGCCTCGATGCTTCCCGCGCCCACGGGGAGCAGCATCGTCGGGGGAGGCGGTTGGGGATGGCGGATAAGCACCTGCCCCTGAGGCCCGCCTTGGATAAGCGCAGGCCCAGGGGGGAGTGGCGGGCGGATGAGATGCGGCGGGGGGGCTGGCGGGGTTCCCCTTCCCCCGACGACAGCCATTGGTCTTCCTCGACCAGCCATGAAACGATAATTGCGGAGTTATAAAAAATGAATTACCTACGAACAATGCGCAAACTTTCGTGAAACTAGGAGGACTAAACGCTGCGAACACCCATGTGTTTGATGGAGCAAACGCTTCGTCAAAATAGGTGTCTAATTGCTCCCTCTAAGATCCACGGCAATGATTGTGAGAGCGAAAATGGCATGGAATGGAAACCTAGCCTGCTCAAAATTGAAGCGTTGCAGGCGGCGAAAAGAGGGACGTGCCATGGAATAACCTTTACTAGAGACATCCACTATAAGCAGGGAGATATCTGTAGCAGCACATTATATTCCATATCAACAATAATCAATGCCATCGGCCTATATTCATTTATTTATCTATATTATATACTTTTTCCAAATAATTGTCATCCAAATCCTCGGTCTCTTCGTCGCTAGTCTCCTCGATTGTGATGGAGTACCATTTCTTAGACTTGTTCGGCACTGCAGCCTTGACCGGGTAATCTTTCTTCACTTTCTCTCTCTTGTCAACCGCCGTCCGCTCCGCCTCTTCTCCACTTGAAGCACTTGTAACCACGAAATTTGCCTTGCCCTCCAAATCTTCCTCCGGTTGCTCTTCTAAAGCAGCTGGTTTGCCTGATCTTGGTTTTCGAGGCCGTTTGAATTTTTGAAGCAGACCCAACATCCGCGCCACCTCATGCAACCCTCCCCACTTCTCAAAAGTCCTCGCCAAGTCTCCCCTACCTGGGAGCACAACCGCGACAAGAATGTGACCGAGGCGGTTTAATATAACTTGCATAACGAAGAAAAGCTTGATGATGGCACCACACACTACCAGAGATACTGACCGTGCTTCTGTAGGAGCATGCGTGAGGGCATCTTGTTGTGCGGCAGGTTATGATCCATCTGAAACTGAAGCACCTGTTGTGAAAAAGGCGGCGAGAGAGAGGAGAGAAAGAAAGAATACAATTGTGAACCCAACGCAGGGGACCTAAACACTCACAAACAATCACAAATAAAACTGTAACCCGCCTTCTCACCTCTTGTTTCAGATTCGCCAGGTCATCCCAGTACCCTCTCGGCTTCCTTGCCACTTGCATATTGAGCTTTTGCGCCACTGCATGCACGCCCCCTGCAAATTGAATCTCTTTCTCAATATCCGATCTCCGGGCTGCCCGCAAAATTCCCCGTGTTGGCATTGTGCCTGGTTCCAACCCCTGCTCCTCACAGAACCCTTCCAGCTTCTCTTTCAACCTGCCCAGGTCAACAACTCTAACCTTCACTCCCTTCTCTCTCTTCTTCCTCCCAACCCCCTCCCCATCCCCTCCCTCCTCTCTCTGCCTTTCACCCACACTCTCTAGGCCCATCAATCCCTTGCTCTCTCCCATCATCTCCCCTCCACCGTCCCACTGCCCCCCGCTGAGCTCGTCCGCCCACAGAAGGTCCAGAGGCTGCTGCACGGAAGCCAGCCCCACAGCATAGGGCAGCCCCGCTTGCTGCTGCTCCGCAAACGCAAGCCCTGAGAGGTCCGGCTCATGGCTGCGAATCTGACCCTGCGACTTTGCTTCAACTGCCCTCTCACGCTCACGGTCCGCCCCTGCTCTCCAGTTCTCCGTGTCCCCCCATTCCTCTCTCCCATTCAACTCTTTGTCGTCGCCCCACTTCTCGTCATCTCCCCACTTCTCGTCATCTCCCCAAGCGTCTCTAACCCTCCACTCTTCTGCTGCGCCCCAGTCCTCCGCATCACTCCATTTCTCTGCATCACTCCAATCAGCCCACCCTGCACCGGGCCACGACCGAGCCTCATCATCGGTCCACACATCATCCATCCCTCCGCCTTCCCCCATGCGCATCAGATCAAGCACCTCCTCTCCCTGCAACCCACCATCACCCGCCAACAACGCTCCGCCCAACCCATTGCCGCCGCCGCCGCCGCCGCCGCTGCTGCTGCTGCTGCTGGCACCGCTGCTGCGGCTGCCACCCACGCGGAACTCAAACCCAACCGACCCGTGAAGGTCCTCCCACTCCTCCATTCCAGCAACGCTCAAGCTCTGGTCTGCATCACTGCGCTCAGATATCGAACCTGCTTTTAACGAGACTCTGGATTCCGACCTTGCTCTCCTCTCACCGCCGCCACTGCTGCCGCCGCTGCTGCCACTGCTGCTGCTGCTGCTGCTGCTGCTGCTGCTGCTGCTGCTGCTGCCACTGCTGCTGCTGCTGCTGCTGCTGCTGCTGCTGCTGCTGCTGCTGCTGCTGCTGCTGCCACTGCTGCTGCCGCTGCTGCTGTTGTTGCGACCGCTGATGTTGCTGCTGCTCCCAGCACTGCTGCTAACCCCATCCTCTGCGTCTTGCGGCGTGATCTCCTCCCCAATAGGCCTCTTCCATTTGAACCCCCGCCTTCGCCGAAAATACCTCCTGTCCTTGCTAATCGGAACCTGAGTCTTATTTACCTGGTTCTCCTTCTCCTGGTCCCGTTCCGCCTTCTCCTTCCCCTTCCCCATCTCACGCTGCCTCTCCGCACTCTTTCTGCTGCGCTGCCTCTCCCCTTGATCGCCGGTCCGAAGCGATACATGTTTCTGCGAGAGCTGATCGAGACCCGCGTCTAGCGACTCATCCAGCCCTCGAGGCTCGCGCGGCTGCCTGTGCGATACGGCGCGAACGGACAAAGAAATCACGACGGCGGCGCTGCAGGGAGGTGGACATGGTGCGAGCGGGCTGTTAGAAGCGGAGGAGATGGAAATCCGTAATGCGGACGTGGATTTGAGGAGGAAAAGCGAGGCGATCGAAGGCAGGAAAGAGGTGCTTGCCGCCATGACAACTCTGGCCTGAAAGAAATGTAGCTGGCCAATGCATGCAGGGTGAGTTGTCCATCTTCGTCATGCGCTCTCAAGAACTGTTCGAAGGGTATCACCACCATCTAAAAGGCATGTCGGCAGTACATCCAACATTTGAAAAAACAAAAAACATTTTCCTACGTGAATTTTCATGCTTTACCGTTTTAATATTAATCCTTGCTGCTATCACATAATCTTTTTTAATACACTCTGTTATTAAGCACACCACACAACTACCATACCCTACACAAAATTGAACACTCCACGCACTGTAGATTTGAGCCCACGCAAGGAAAACGAGAAGAGAAATAGCGGGCCCAGTTTCGCTCGCATCTGCGATCTTGCACAATTGCAAAAAGAATGGCGTGCACCGTCATCCTGCGAATGCCTTCCAAGTCAGCATCCAGTCGCAAGGGGCGCATGACAGCTGTGGAGTTGAAAGTTGAACAAGGACGGCGAAATAGCAAACGATATCGACGTCCTCGCGGCATAGGAACCGCCTCAAAAATTGGCACACTCGTGCTTCACAGCAGCGAAAGGCAAGACAGCATCTTCCCCTCGCCACAGCAGCACAGCACGCCTGGTGCGGTGCGGTCACTTCCAGAATGCAGATATCAGCGCGACAGCCAGGATGAAAGAGGCTACACTTGGGAGAGCACCTCGGTTCGCTTCACAAAGCGCCCCTGCAACCAAAGAATAAGAAATACATACTGTCAGAACAAGAAATACTGCATAAGAGGTGCTAACAACATAATGAAATGTCGTCCACATGGAGCAGAACTAGCATGGATTGCCATGTATGCAGGACGAAAGCACCGTACCTTCACACGGGGCCGCTGGTCGGCGTTGACCTTGCGCACTTCGTATCGGATCTTCTTGGAGAAGAGGCGGTTCCTGCGCTTCTCCCGGTAGCGCAGCACACGGGCCTCCCTGCCCTCATTGGAGAAAGGCTCAAATGTGTCGCTGTCCATCGCAGGCTGCTCCTGCTCATGCTCGCCCCATTGCTGACCCAGACTGGGCATGGTAATGTCTTGAGCAGACCCAGGCAATGAAGGAGAGGCTGTGGCGAGACCAGGGAGGTGGGCAAGCTGCAGAGCAACAAGAATTGGAGAGAAACAAGGAAGCAATGGTGAGAAGCCCGGATTCATGAATGGAAGGTGACGAAGTGGATGATGTCTGTGTAGGCACTGAAAAGGCTGTGCGTGCATACGATTGAACTTCGCCTGTCCTGAGTGCCCAGGCTTACACTTTGCTACTCCTCCTCTCCTCTATGCCTATGTCTGTCAATCCACCTGATTCTGATCCCTTGTTCAGTTCGCATCTTTGGTTCCTCGTTACGCCATTATGTGTGCATCCCGCTCTCTTGCATTATTGGCGCACAGGGCCTTGAATGTTCACTTCAGCACTCAGATTTGACCACGCCAATGAGAGGTGGAGTGAGTGGCAAGGCGACGTTTCCAGATAGGGAGTATAACGGGGGGGAGAGGCGCACAACAAGGGAAGTAACATGTGTCTCACCAGGGGGCGATTAAGGCCGTCGCGCTTCTCTACACTGGCGCCCTCCTCCTCTTCCTGCTCTATCCACGGCGACTGGCCTTCGGGCGCCTGGTCCGACCACGCGCTGATCACGTCCTCATAGTTCAGACGCAGGCTCGGCGACTGCTGCTGCAGCTCCTTGCGATTGCCCAGTTTCACCGCCATCCCTCCCTCCGCGTCCGCGCCTTCCGCTGCGGGACCGCCGCTGCTGCTTCCGAACACGTCCTCCGCGCGAGGCCGCTTCCCGAGATGCGCCTGAGGGGGGTTTAGCGCGGCCGCGCTCTCGCTGGTTGCGCCACTGGCATCCCCCGCGGTGGGGGAGCCTTCAAGCGGCTCCACGTCGACCTCACTCTCCGCCTCTGCAGACTCGTCCAGGCCCCACCCTCCAACAAACCACCCCTCCGTCTCGCCCTCCTCCTCCCCGTGGCTGATTATAAACTCTTCGAATCCCTGCGTCTGCAGCTCCCCCTCGCCCTCTTTTCCTGCTACTCCGGCGCCGCTCGCGCGCACCGCGCCTGCGCCGCAGCCGCTGCTAGAGCTCGCGCGGCTGAACGACGGAGTCGCCGTCGAACCTCCGCTGGTCTTCGGGTCACACGTGCCGAGGCTGACAGGGTCTGTGACCGTTAACCCCCGCGCAGGCTGCTGCGTCTGCGGCGCGCAGTGATCATGGGGAATCTGGGGAGCGTCCGGGACTTCTCTGCCCGTGCGCCCGTCCACTACTGGCGTGCACTCGTCGGCTTCATCTACAAAGAAGCGGTCCACGTCATCAAATGACAGGATATCCAAGAAAGCCTCGTCCGCCGCCCCTTCCGCCGTCCTTCCGCCGACTCCCCCCTCCGCCTCCTGCTTCACCTTGCGCTCCGCGCTCTCCCCGACAGCTGTTGCGCCTGTCGGCGGAAAATGTACGCCGCTCCGCTTTTGCTTTTTCGAAGGCCGCGGGCCTCGCATGCTCTCCGCCAAGCGCGGGTGATGCGGTACGGCGGCGTAGTCTCCCGGATGTCCCATATACTCGCTAGGAGCAGCTCCCATGTAAGGCATTCCCATATGCGGTCCGTACATGGGACCCCAGGGCCCAGGAGGGTAGACGACGCCGGGAATCGGAGGCGGCGCAACCCAGGGGTGGGCGTAAGGGGCCATGTGCGGGGGGGGGATGTAGGGAGGGATCATGCCGGGGCCGTAAGGGGGCATAGGCCGTACCCCTTGCGCGGAGCAGTCGTCTGGGCGCCAGTAGCAGTGCGGGGGAGGGGGGACAGCGGAAACACCCCGCGGAGAAGCTCGAGACGCATCCGAAGCTCCGCAAGGGGTAGCGGAAGCGGAAGCTCCTCTTGACGACGCTGCGTTAGACGCGAGCCCGCTTCGCTGACCGTTGCTGGTTCGTCCTCCTTGTGACAGCGGGACGATCGGCGTGCAGTGCGGAGAAAATGATGGCTCCCAAGCGTGAACTTGAGGTTCCGGCTTTGCGATAGCTCCAAGTTTTGCTCTCGCAGTCCCGGTACTTGGCTGTTGTCGCTTTCTACCTTCTCCCGGTGCTACTGTTCCTCCTTGAACGAGCATTTCCTCCTTGATGGGTAATCGGGCTCTCGAGGATTTTATACCAGCAACGTTGGTAACTGTGGATGACGCTGTTGCGTCGGCTGTTGGGGGGTTTCGCATCGTCGCAACGATGCCTGATCCCCGAACCATCGCAGGCAGCTCGGAGTTTCCGTTACCGTTACCATTACCCCCAACGCGACGGAAAATCTTCACTGGAGCTCCGTTAGGTCCCAGTCTGACACGCTCGTGTCGTTGAGAGAGAGGATTGGCTCCATGGACGAAACCGTCGCACACGTCGCAGATGTACGCGTCGTCAGCTGCGCAGTAGAGTGTCGCAGGCTCCGTTACGCAGGAGTCGCACATTCGCTTTGGACGAGGAAATGGTGGAGCTGTGATAGAGACAGAATCCAGAAAGGTCTGGGACGAAGCCATTTTCTCCTGCTTCTGTTGTGGCTGATCTTGCGTCTTCGTCTTGTGATTGACAATCTCTGCCTCGGATGGCGACAGTGTAAGCGTTAGCTTAGAGTGCTCAGGCTTCTGAAGGACAGACTTCCCTTTCAGAAATTTCCCTGAGGAAACAGAGGTAGGAATTACTGCTGCTTGAGTCATGGTCATGGCTCCCTGAAAACAAGAAGGGATGTTTTGAGATCCCTTGAATGTCACAGATGGCCAACTGGTAGTTGATGTCTTCAATGTGCTATGCCAGACTTGGATAAGAGGGAGCGTGACTGTGCTTCCTCAGGTAATGCTGCTGACTGGAGATTCAGCATCAGCAAATTGGGGGAAGGCAGCTTGAAGCAGACTCCGGTCCAGCACGGCAGGCAGAATGGAGCGAGTCCCTCGTGGATAAAGTGCTCCCTGACGAATGGGAAGACCTGAAGACTCGCTTGGGCCCTTCGGGAAAGCTCGCTGTGGTGGTTGGTCTGCTGGACACTGGTGCCCCACCTCCTCGTCTGTCCTTGTTTAACTGGGAATATCCTTCGGAAAGGATCAGGCCACTGAGCCGGTGTTTGGGATCAGGGCTGTCGATTGCTCTGGGTCCAGAACTTGGACGGCTGAGCTGCCCCAAAATTAGCCCTTAGATTTACGTTTTGGGGCCAAACTCAACACTTGAAATCAGGGCTACAAAGTGTTAGGCACTTTTGCTAGGAGAAGAGATCACCCTGGATTTGCAGTGCCTATCCGATATTGATTCTTCAGTTTCCCGCCTCTTAGTGGAAAGAATCGGAAACAACGCCTAACCCACTTAACATTGTAAGGGTGAAGTACAGGGACCTCTCCAGTACTTGTGTGTGTAGCACTTCGCACAGATCTAGCACTAAGTATTCAATGGCCTCCCGCTGCCTTCCCACTATCCTTGTTGCGACAGAAGGCGGAATCGTGAGGTTGTTCGCGGACAGAAAACAGAAGTTGAAATTCCACGCGGAAACCTTCGGTTTGTACTTAGAAACTACTTCAGGTTCTGTCTGACTTGCAGTTCAGGTTCTGACTTCCAAAAAAACCAGTTCAGGTCCCGACCTCGAAAGTATACAGAGTATCAAAACTGGCTCTGGGGAGAGATACTGCACCTGGAACTTGGATGACGGGAAATGGGGTGGGTGGGGAGAGGGGAGTGAGGGGAGGAATCGGTTCGTAGGGGTAGGGCTAGCCCCAAGACTGATACTTGAAATCCGGGTTAGTCCCGAACACAGCACTTTAGGCGGACGGGCTGACCTGAAACCCGACCCTTAAATTCGGGGACCTAGGCCTAACTCAACCCTTAATGTTCAGGGCATTAAGGGCATTTGCCCTTGTAGCGACAGCCCTGTTTGGGATCATGATTGGTGCAGTTGGTTCGGGCAGTGCTCTAACGGATGGACAAAGTGGCTTCGGAACTTCCCTATCGCAACACACATGCGACTTCCTGCCATTTTGATTCACCACACCAATTCGCTTTATGATCCCACGGGCAGATCCTGAAGGCCGGTGGCTCACAGCTTCGGTTCGGAGTCCGCACGCGCAAAAGCTGATTGCACTGTACACACTTATCCCCCAATCAGTGATTCTGCCGAGCCTCTCTGTTTTCGGCTCGGTGATCTAATCTTTCTGGCTGGCGATATTGAGGCGCTTCGCCTCACAATTGGTTGGCTAGGACGAATGTGAAGAGCGCTTTGGAGATGAGCGACCCGTCGCTGGATGGTGGGGCGCGAGACCTCAGTACGCTGCGAAACGCGAACCAGTAATCCACCCACACTGCGTCAGCAAGCTCAAATTCCCTGGACTCTCAAGTGGCTGTGCGTGCGTGTCGCCAACTGCATCAATTCTTCACCGTTCGTTCCGCCCATCAACTGAACGGACTGCCTCGGAGCCCAAGAAGAAGAGGCGAGGCAGGGCAAGCACTCAGAAAACTTTGGTTTTTTCTGGTCAGTGTGAGATTCTCTCAGTAAATGCTGGAGTGGTCCGCTCTTTCAAGTTCCGACAACCGACGTTCAGAGTGTTCGACCCGTAATTACCCAATGAAGTGTGACGTAGTGTACCTTGGTGAATACGTACGTCGCCAAGAAACAACAGAGCTTCATCAGCAGCAACACAATTCAAGCTTTGGGTGGGACATCTTCAATTGGAGCCCAAACTTGGGAAAGTATATCCCAGATCCTGACTTTCAGATTTCTCTCATATTTAGCCCTAGGTTTGCTAAAAAGGCACCACTTTCTATCATTTCTCTCACGCGAGGCCCAAAGTATGTTCAAAACTGGTCCTGCGGGGCGAAGTTTTCGACACGTGTCCTCTGGTTACCATCTGACGCACTTCCACTCTGAACTAACCGTTTGACGGGGCAATTTTCGCGCCGGAAAAGTTTTGACGGGACAAAAAAATATAAAACCCCTAGGGGACCAGTACACATTTTCGGGAGGGATCAACCCTAAACACGACCCCTGTTAGGTGTTTAGGGTTGATCCTTCTCGCAAATGTGTCCCGGTTCCCTAGGGGTTTTATTTTTTTTTTCCCCCGTCCTAATTTTCCAATGCGTGGAAGTGCGTCAAATGGTAACAAGAGGACACATGTCGAAAACTTCGCCCCGCGGGATCAGTTTTGAACATACTTTGGGCCTCGCGTGAGAGAAATTATAGAAAGTGGTGCTTTTTTAGTAAACCTAGGGCTAAATATGAGAGAAATCTGAAAGTCAGGAGCTGGGATATACTTTCCCCCCAAACTTTTATAATGCGTGACTCTCTCGCACATTTCGAACTCCGAATCCTGAAGTGGCCCAGTCAAGTAGAATGGGACTTCCAAATGATGAGGTTCCGGGTTCAAACCCCAGTGCTGGCGAGTTATGCCAGCCCCCCAGAAGGGGGTTTCGCACTACTCATCTGGGAGTGGATATATTCCTACCTCGATACCCAGCGAGGCGTGTAAATAAGTGGGTAGGCGTGTCAGAAATGAGAAGGAACGAGTGATTGAATTAGCAAGCAGGTGGGTACAAGTGGGAAAACCAAAAAGTGTTGTACCCTATATTGACTATCCCACTACAGCCTACACAGACTATGTCATATAAGTTTGACACACCCCCATAGGCAAAGTGGGGGAGAACAAGAGGTCACAAGACCAGTCAAGAAAAGCAAAGCAAACTCAAGGTGGATCACGACGTCACCACACATTCTGAGCACAAGCAAATGGCCACAAGGCCAGTTCACATGCAGTGTTATATAAAGGAGAACAAGCAGTACAGTGATCACAACCTAGCAAGTATAAGCATGCAGGTATATGTATAGAGATCACAGTACAAGCAAAGTCAAGAAGTGAGCAAGTGAGGCCAAGTAGGCACAAGGCCTAGAACAGTACAGAAACGCTGATGATCACAAGGCTGGAGTGCCTTGGTGAAGACATCAGCTGTGTTGGCCTGAGAGGCCACGTAGACAAGACGAAGCTGACCACGTTGCTGCAGCTCTCGAGCAAGGAAGTAGCGCAGCGCGATGTGCTTCGTTCTGTGCTCCAGTCTGTGCTCCTGACACAAGGCAATCATGGCCTTGTTGTCGACGTACAGAACTGGAGGAGAACGAGGCGGCTCGCCCAAGTCGGTCAGCAGGTAGGTGAGCCAGCGTAACTCCTGTGCAGCCATGGCCCCTGCGTAGATCTCAGCCTCACAACTGGAGCTGAGAACAGAAGACGAGCGGGTAGACCGCCACGAAACAGGGCCGGAGCCAAGGCTGAAGGTGTAACCCTGTGACGACCGCTGCGTAGCCAAGTCGTCAACCCAAGAAGTGTCTGCGTGACCAGTGAGGACAACTCGAGCCCGTCCTCCAAGCACGAGCCCCATGTCCGATGTACTGCACAAGTAACGCATCACCCTCTTAGCGGCCTTCCAGTGCTCTGGTCGGTGTCTCCCGGGCGCAACGTAGCGAGCCAGGATGCTAAGAGGGTAAGCGAGGTCAGGTCGAGTGCAGGTCATCAGGTACATGAGGCAGCCCACAAGCTCTGGATACGGGCCACTCGGCTCTATGGACTCATCCGAAGGCAGAGCTGAGAGCGAGTAACCGGTAGGCAGAGGAGTGGCCTGTGGCGAGGAGTACTCGAAGCCGAAGCGCTGAAGGACCTGCTGCACCATGTGTGACTGAGTCAAGGTAATGGTGCGCCGTGCTCTGTCCCGGGTGATCTGCAAGCCAAGATAGATGCGC